AAGTAGGTTAATTTCATAAGACCTTTTAGAGAAGCTTCCTAAAAGCTTCATAAACGTTACTTGACTTTACATATATTTGTAATTGATTAATAGGTTAGAAACTTGATCTACAAGTTAATCACGTGTTGGTAGCTTGCAAAATAAGCTAATTATATGGCACACATATAAAAAACTTGTCTTGTAAGTTAAGATATGTATCTTACAAAGTCAACACGTTTTGGAGGTCCTATAGGACATTACCACGTAGCTCCTACTTAAGAGTATATATGGAGGTAAGAGTGAAGCCTTCTTCACTCTTGTCAATGCCTTTCTACTCCTTAGTCTTGTTTCAAGATTTTTTAGTTTTTTAGTTTTTGGAAATAGCCATTCTAGTTTAATATTACATCATTTTTTAAGTGACTTTCTACTTCTCTTTAGTGACATAAGAGTGTATTGAGGATTTTCTTTCTTCAAGTTTCATATCCTTGATACTACAATACTTGAAGTTATATGGCCAAATCAGTTTTTGTCAAACTATAATAATGTCCAATATTATAGTCCAGTGTTGATTAAATATTCTATAGCTTCTTTGGATACAATCTGAATTTTTGAAAGTTTGATGTTGAAATTTGAAAAAATTGGTACTTGTGCTATTGCTCACAGATGTCCTATAAGCATTGAATTTTTGAATTGTTGTTGTTAATTCTTAATTAAATGGCACATGCAAAATATGCATTTGCATGCTACAAATACATGATTAATAATATCAATAAGGCTTTTGTATTGATTAAATAAAAATGTGAATTTCAAAAGTTTGTAATTTAGTAAATAAGATGCAAGAATTAATGTCTTTAGCTTCTCCAAAAACCATAGCCAATTGTTGTCATTTTCAGCATTCACAATATTAAATGCAATAGAAAATAGTTACCGCTTTACATCAATTCTTGTAGTAGTAAAGAATATTCTAATGTATTTTTTTTAAATAAATGTTGTCTATGCCAATGATAAGTGGATACTATTGCAAGAAATGTAAGCTTATATTATAAATAATAAACAATTGAAAAAAGTCATTTTGTTTATCATCTTGTAATTTTACATAGTTCTTTGAATTTATTATTTTGATTTAGTGACAATATAATTTCAGATTGGTGTAGATATTTGTATAAGAGTCAATTAATTCATAAAAAACTTTTTTAATTCAATACTATGACATCAAATAGGATGACATAACATCCTCATAATATCAATTATCTTTTTGAATATCTACAATTCTATATTGCAATGTATCATCCAATTTTTTTTTCATGTTACTCGCTATGCAATTGGTACTAGTATGTTGGTTGCCAAAGTATTCAATACTAATGCATGTGTATTTAAAGATAAATATACAAATGACAAATATACTTATATCTACTAATTGAAAACATGATGCATGTAATCTTAATTTGCAAGTATTGATGCAATACTTTATAATATATCTTGTTTGGTCACACTTGATAAAAGATATTTCATAATGGTTGTTGGTTGCAGCATAACAAATAGCTTCTTTTATTTTATTACTACTATTGAAAATAACATCCATAATAAGAAAATTGGTCATATTGAAGTATGTTTCTTATTCAAAAAATTCTTGACAAGTTTGATTCCTACAAAGTTTGCTTCCAAAGTAGTATGATTCTTACAATACACTTCTTGTCCTTGTCCTACTTTGTAATGCATTCCTCCAATTAGTTATCACCAATATTGTGAAGATTATTGTGTGAAGAAATAAAGATAATATCAAAAGCACGAAATGTATTTCTTGCACATAATTGAAGGTAACTTACAAATTACACAAGGTGTACTATATAAATTAGTAGGCATGTAAGGTATTAATACTATATTTTTTTGTCTCCAATTTACAAATTCATCAGAGATCTTTCCAAATGTTAAATATACCATCAACATTTTAAAAATATATTGACGTATTTAAAAACATGACGTGTTGAATTTTATAACTATGTTTCATTAATTGTAGAAGTATTTTATATATATATATATATATATATATATATATATCAAACATATAAAATATTTATATTTATAAAAAAATAAAATAGAAGTTATTTATAAATAGATTAATTATATTTTAAAATAATTAGTCCAAGGAATCATATGCTAAATTAAAATTTCATCAAATAAATATTATAACCTTTTATTTTATTTATTTTTTAATTTATTATAGATATGGCATATAATAAAAATGAAATAAATAATATATAAAAATAAAATAAAATAAAATAAAATAAAGTAAAAAAAAGTTCCAAAATTTAATTTGATTGGAAAAGTAAAAAACACATATTGCCTATTTTAAAACTTTGGTTGTACCAAAAAATAATATACAAAAGGTGCATAAAATTTTAGTTTTTTACTTAAAGTCTATTCTATGCCTGGAGTAGAATGATTAATATTAAAATTATCAGTATTTTCATATTGAACTTGATTTACGTGTAAATTTCAATTCTCTTGTCTGTTGTAACTCCTCTGAGTGCAAAGATTGTATTTCTTTAGAACTTCAAGTACCAAGTTTTGTGTTGACTAAGTATTGTGTGGCTGGAGAAAATATTTGAAGTCGAATACTTCAACTCTCATTGATGATACAATGAATTGTGACAAAAAAGTATCCTGTCATTGAGACAAACATCCATCTGCAGTTAAAGTAACAACTTCACAAGTGTTGTGGAGGATCCTTTTGAATTTCATTTCTGTTTTGGCATATTCATCGTCTACTGAAGAAAACAATTACGAACCGGTTAGGTAACTGATACCATCTGTTAAATTTTTATTTATTTATTTATTTATTATTTTTTATCAGTTGTTTGAAAGCGGTACCTCAACCATATTGAAAGCCTGCTTGTGATCCACAATCCAGTCTCATACTCAGGAGCTTTCGTGTTGAACAAACAGAAACTTTCAAATGCCTCAGTTAAATCTCAATTCGTTGGTACATACAAAAGGAATAGACAGTGAACGAATTACGAACAGAAGCATCACATGAATGAGTGAAAGAATGAGAATTATGACGCACCGATATTAAGGCGAGAGTTTAGCTTCACATGAGATGTTACTTTGGTGCATGGAAAATCGCGGTCCATATGTAATTGCTTCAATTCAAGCACTAACACGTGTGGTAGCTGAAGGATTTGAGCTCTAGCCTTCGAGTCTTCCGCACCACACCCTTCACACTTGCGACAAATAGTAGTCTCCTGCAATTGCATCATGCAGACATGATATACACGAAGTAGAAATCAAGTAGAGACAAATAATTCAAGATAACAAACCAGCTATGATTAGATGATTGAGTATCAGATCACTACAAGAGATGACAACGAAAACACACCTGAAAATACAAGTTCAACAGTGATTCTAGGCTCCATTCCTTAGATTCATCACTTCTGTAAAAATCAACACATTCAAGTATCTGTGAAGCAAGAAAATTATTTTCCAAAACTGCTGTTTCAATTTAGCCCGTATTTACCTGCTAGAATTTCTAAATCAGATGAATTGTATTAATGTGATGCGAATTGCTCTCATCACAATCACACATCAGATAACGGAAGAATTCAAGCATAAGGAATATTACCTCTCATCTTCTCGTGAAGCCAAACAAAAGTCTTGATAAGTCTCCTCCACGAATGATATTTTCCCACTGCAACAGTCAATATAGTGATGAGGAGAAAACGAGGGGCAGGAGGGAACAGTGTTGCACTTCCAACTTAAACTCTCATCTATATATATATGAAATGTTTGAAATGTTCAACGTAGGGCATAATCGTAATTTGCAGAGCTCATCATCTTCTCATGATCGTTTGTCGCTATCTTGCAGATGGGCACCTTTGGTGAGTCACCAGTCAGTGGCAGTCACCACCAGTACACCACTACCGCCCTACGACATCGGACATCCAAGTTTGCGGTCCTCATGCCAAATCCTGCACTCCATGCCATCATAGCGCTGTCTTAGTGATGTAGATTGCAACCAGGTTTCCTCCCTTTCCCATACTCCACGGTCTCCATCTCAAACTCCACAACCTCTTCTGAGACTTCTCCCATCATCAGAAAACAGGTTGATACAGGCTTTAGCTAGCACCGTAGCACGCATTTACGATGTGGGGTTGATACATTTCAGCGCATCAGCTGAAAGAGGAGACTTCCCGTCAACGTGCTCGCAAGCATTGCGGATCGTGCGGTGTGTCTGATCTCATTACTTATTGAATCTCTTGTTGATCCCCCCATTGGTTGAGTCATCCGATTTAGGGGATGATCCTCTACAAATTCATCTTACCAAGGAGCCTCTTGATGAAGAGTACAGCATTGTGTCCATTTTCTCAAATTATTCTTTTGAGACCATGCATGCTGAGGTTTGATTCTTGAAATTTCCTCAGACATCTGACGTCAACCTCATGCGTAGATCGTTGTGCGTCTCTCTCGGATGTGAGAGCTGAGCTCTTGTGATCTTTGCGAAATTGCTCGCAATTCCGTTCTTCAATCAGGCTTCAAGCCTGCATCGAGGGAACCACGGTCTAGCACACAAGAGGAAGAGCTGGATTTGTGGGTGTAGAGAGTATGAGATTATATTGTGGAGACATGGAGAGGACTCCCGAGGGTGATGCAGCTGGCTGCGTTGGAATCACTTTGTTTTATTTTTCCCTTTAATGTGGAAGGACAAGCATGTGCAAGTGAAACATACTAGTTGAGAGCTTACCCATTGATTAATGGAGATGAATCACCAGAATTGAGATGAATATGACTCAGGATTGCAGGTACGATGACGTTGACTCAGGTTGCGATCCTCCACCCCTAAATCGATATGAATATGACCCATATTATATGAGGATCTGTTCGAGGAGAATTTAACCGGTTAGTAACCGGTTCCAGAATTTTTTGACCGGTTAACCGTATAACTGAAACGCGAATACCCCTAAACATGGCAGACAGCGGGCATAGGAGGCCATGCAGCGGGCAGACAGAATGGACGGTAATAGGGGAGCGAGGTGACACACTGGCAAGTGACCGAGCGGCTGGAAGGCAAGCCAAGGCGCGGAGACCAGGTAAGGACGCATGAAGCGAGCAGTGAAGGAAGGAAGGAGAAGGAAAAGGAAGAGCAAGGAAGACGAGTAGGAGCAGGAGACTTAGGGTTTAGAAAGTCTTGTTGGAGTATCTCGTATTTCGACCGATTGCTCACCGCATTGCAACAGGGACACACCATCACCATCACTGTCGTCTCGTCACGGAGGCGTCGTAGGATTTGGGTAGGGGGAGGGGGGGTTTGCGGGATGCCGGAGGAGGGCGGGGGAGCTGACACCCCCAGCGCGCCCGCCGAGGCAGAGGGGAATGGTGCGGGAGGGGAGATCAGCAGAGTGTTTCGGGAGGCGTCCGCGGTGGCCACCACCAGCAACGCCACCACGGGTGCACACGGGGAGGATGTAGTGCAGACAGCTAGGAGTCTAATGCGCCGGATCGTAGCGGAGCGTGACTCGCCCAACCCATCGCTCTTGCATTCCCTGGCTGCGATTCTGGAGCAGGAAGAAGCTAGGTCTGGCTTTGAATTTTAAACCTGCCGGTCGGGGGTGGGGTGGATTTGAGAGATGTTTTGCGGGGAGGAGTGTGGTCGTGATTCTGGAGCTTGTAAGATTTGTGGAGTGAGAGTAGGGTTGCTGGATTTCGTGGAGCTGTGTAGTGATTGTGGTTGGGCGTTCTCTGGTGCGGGGAGAGTTTGTTGGTGGAGTGTAATTGGGTGTGAGACAATATACCCTGGATAATTTTGTGAATTTCGATATGTACTCATACTCACTCTTTCACTTACTCACCCAAGGTGTTCGCTGTGCCTTGGTGTGGAATTATCAACATTTTAGGCAGTGGAGAAATGTTTGTAGTAAAGTTGGAGCTTCTGCTTGAGATTCATGTTTTAGAAATCTGGCTCTGGGCCGGGTGACAGTCCCGTCGCGAGTCCCATTTCCATGGTTTAGGTGATTTGATTTCATGCTTCTTAATCAGGCAGCGTGCGATTCAATTATTATACTACGATAGCTGGGATACTACTCTCTTTATTTAATTTTTAATTTGTTTTTCTCTCGACTATCAAATACTTAGCTTCGTGGGTACTTTCGGAGGCTTTTTGTTCCAGAAAAATTTATGGAGTAAGATCCTGGTTTGATCCTTTGGCGTTGCTTTGTGGCCTTGCAGGTATGAACAGTATACAGGGCACCCCTATTCCAACAATTCACGGTCTTCACACTTGATAGGGCGCCTTGTTAACTTATTCAGGGTAAACGCTCAGTGACTCTCAAGGAGGTTTCTTTTTGTGAGTGTTAATATGATTATAGTTTGGGCACGACAGAGACAGAAGGTTGATGGCGTGGCTTGAGGCTACGGGAGTGTCCGCATAATAATGTTCGGGCATGGTCCATGTCCAAATGTAATTGGTTTTGATAAAACTGCAATATTACACAATCAACAATTTGCTGTGATTCATGTGACGCGATTAGGGCTTTAGCTCACTCATTGAAGCTCATGCCGTACAGTGGCTTGGCTAGGGTTTAGTGGTGTGTGGCGCTTAATAGGACAACTTGGCTTTGTTGATTGCCCATGATGATGCTTTAGGCTTGCTAGTTTACCTTGGCTAAAGTGTGCAACTCTACGCGCAATGGCAGGAGGATGATGATTTTTTTGAGCTGCTGTCCAAAAGACTGTTGGTTGGGCCAGTGCATTCTACGATGGTTCGTGCAGCTGCAGTTAGGCTGTTGCTTGCCTGCGTTTCGAGCTGGCTGGTAATCATGCATTGACAGCAGTCTATGATTGAAGTTTATCATTACTGGCAGTTTGGCTTATTGCATATGTGACCTTGCATCTTTTTCAGTTGGATTGGCAATTGTTCGTCACCGTCGCGGTCATGGCTGTTGTGGTATCACGCGTCCATTGTTTTGTTTCCACGTCATGTGAAATTCTAGTGAATCAGGTGCTGTAATTACATACTAGATGCGTATTGTCCTGATTGTCTGTGGGGTTTTGCGTTAATTATGTATTTTTTAGTATAGAAAACTGGAGATAGCATGATTTGGCGTGCTTATCAGACGGTTTAATTAATTACCTACTAATTTTATAAATCGTGTTTTGTATTCAGTATCCTCATGTGTTTGAAGAAGAAGTCCTTGTTAATATCAAACGGTGGGTAACGGAGGACTCACCGAAAGATATAGCGAACAGCAGGGCATCTAGAAGTAAGAGGACCAAGGATGCTGATGCAGTCCATCGTGAGATGTTGAGGACCTATTCAACCGGCCTTCTCGCAGTAACTCTGGGAGGGTACGAATGTGCTGTTTTCACTTTCTTGCTTTAGATCGGCAATTTTTGATTAGCAATTTAATTAAGTTGTGGTCGATCCCTGGGTTCTTTCAGCTGCAATCTGATTCATCTACTGTTCCTTATGTCCGATATTAAATTGTGGCTTCTTTGAGTCCATGTGTAGAGGACTAGGTACATAATCAGTGCATCTTCTGCGCAGGTCTGATGTTGTGGAGGATGTACTTACGACGGGTATGGTAGGTCAGCTTATGCACTACCTGCGCGTTCGTGTACTGGGAGATGCGTCTGCAGAAGCGAATACCGAAAGTAAGACAAATATAGGAATGAGTGGAAGCAGGGGAAGGGATGAAGCTAGAGGGCGAGTTAGGCCACTTCTAGATGTATCAAGGATGGAAGATCTTCGTGTTTCTGACAAAGTATCCGATGAGCAAAGAACAGAAAGGGGTGGTGAAATGTTGGTTGATGCTATAGGAGAGAAGAAAGATAACGAGGAAGCTGTCCAGGAGGATGCTGAGAACTTAGAAGGAACTCCAGACCTGAGTCTCTGTACATATGATGCCGATGAAGATGGGGACGAGTGTATGAACGAAGATAAAAGGCGTAGAAAAGATAGGCGAGAAGCTAAAACTAGGACAGCAGAGTGGTTGAATAGTACTCGTCCACTGCAAGAAGATGAAAATGAAGAGATGAGTAGAGCAGAGCCGTCAAAACGCAGGATTGACGTCCACAGAGTAGGCGGAAAAGGAAGAGGAAAAGGAAGACATAGTGATGGCGCTGCAGAATCTGAAAGAGGCCAATCATTAGCTCCAACATCAGCTCCAACATCAGCTCGCAAAGAAAGTGGTCACAAGAGCAGGGGATTATCCTCAGAGAAAACTTCTAAATTGACAGGAATTGGGTCTGAGGCTCCGAGGGGTGGAGTTAAGGATGACAGTGATTCGGAGAACCAAACAATTCAGTGCGTCTTGGTTGGTAAGGCGGATATCTCACTGTCCATGCGAAAGGCCATGCGAGCAGCTCAAGCCGAAGCGAGGACAGAAAATGCTCCCTGGGAAGCTGTAAAAGCAGCCGGAGATGCTGCTGCTGACCTTGTTAGAGCAGCTGCCACAGAGGTATTGCTACTGTTGGCTAACTTTCCAGCCAGGACTTCTATATGTGTTTCGCCTTTTGACCCCTATGTAATGTCTAGTTGTCGCAGGTTGTAATTAACCTGCTTTTTACAATCCTGGTGCTATTTTACTACGTGACTTGCAACCTAACGACGTTTTGGATATTGCATGCAGGTTCTCGCAACCACAGACAAAGAGGAAGATATATTGGCAGCAGCAAATGAAGCAGCTCTTACAGTTGTGGATGCTGCTCTTTCATCCACTGTCACAAGGTATGTAGGAACGATCCTGTTTGGGTGAACTTCACCTAATTTGGGAGAGTAGCGTTCTTCTCTCTTTATTCATCTTTTCTTTTTCTTTTTCTTTTTCTTTCCCTCCTCTTCTCCTTAAAACTAAAGCCTAATATTTTCCTCTTTTTGCAGCAACATCTAACCTGGGTCTGTAGACTAAATGACAATGTTGGATTGCAAATCAACTTTGTGCAGAGAACAGCTGGAAAAGAAAAAGATGGCCATGGAAGAAGCTAAAAAAGTAGCAGAAATCGAGTCTAAGAAAGAACAGGAAAATGAAGTGGGAGATGAAGGGCAAAGTGGTGTGGATATGGAGGCATTAGCTGCACTTAGGGAACGTTATTGCGTACAGTGTCTTGAAAAGATGGGGGAGTATTTGGAAGTGTTGGGTCCCGTTTTGCATGAAAGAGGTGTCGACGTTTGCTTGGCCCTACTTCAACGGCGGCCAATCGATAATAACTACAAAGACTTGGCAGTGCTTTCAGATGTACTGAAATTGATATGCGCACTTGCTGCACATCGAAAGTTTGCTGCTCTTTTTGTGGATCGAGGTGGTGTAGAGCAGCTTCTTGCTACTCCTAGAGTGTCTCAAACTCTTACGGGCATCTCTCTTTGTCTGTTCGCACTTGCATCGCTGCAGGTTAGAGTCTTATTCATTTAATTTTTAGTAATATTTCTTAGGAATACAAATTTATTGTTTTTGAAGAGGATTACGTATGATCATTTGCTGGTGAAATTGGTTGATGTTTCGATTGCTGATCACGATTCTGATTTTCTTACTAGGTTTATGATGTTTTATGCACAATTATTTCTTATACTTTATGATCTGTAAGCAGTTGTATTAATTATGAATACCAAGCCACCATTTTGAGTGCGGGTACCCTAGGTATTGATGATTATTTTTAAGGTGCAATATTAACAAACTGGTTTTGTGTCAGGGCGTGATGGAGCGAGTCTGTACTTTGCCAGCACCAGTGGTTCAGGATGTTGTTGCTCTCGCACTTCATCTTTTATCTTGTCCACAGGATCCAGCTAGGCGCAATGCTGCTTTGTTTTTTGGAGCGTCTTTTGTTTTCCGAGCAATTTTGGAGGCCTTCGATGGTCAAGATGGGTTGCGTAAAATAGTCAATTTGTTGCGGAATACAGCTTCTTTGAGATCAGGAGGGTCAAGCAACTCAGGCACTGCTGCAACATCAGCAGGCACCTCCTCTTGCTTTCCTTCTTTTTTTGTTTTAATTTTTTTAAACAATTTCTTTAAAAGAATTTTGTTATTTGTTTCGTTTTTCTTTTTGTTTGTGTCAAACGTTTAGTGATTCAGGATGAAACGTACGTGTCATAGATTTTGGGGATACTCAAGGGTCTGTAGTTGATCATTACTTTAGGTTCGAGACAGGGTTTCAATGGATATCTGCAATTATGTGCCCTACTTTCTTCATCTAAACCTTGTGTTTTTCTCAGGTTCACGTGATCGGACGTTGGCATCGGCTGAAGTTTTGACATCAAGTGGGAAGCAGATTGCTTATCTTACGTGTGTTGCACTACGGCAATATTTTCGGGCCCATTTGCTATTGTTGGTTGACTCTTTAAGACCTAGTAGAGGTCACAAGGGTGGTTCACGAAACGGGCCCAACGGGAAAGCCACATACAAACCTCTTGACATCAGCAATGAAGCAATGGACACAATTATTGTCCAACTGCAAAGAGATCGAAAATTAGGACCTGCTTTTGTCAGGTCGCGTTGGCCTCCACTTGATGCATTTATGCAGTACAATGGTCACATTGTTCTCCTAGAACTTACCCAGGTATTACTTTATTTATTCAATGGTTACTATTTTCGAGGATATTGCCTATGTGAGATAGAATTGTGCATTTAGCTGTATGTAACTTCTTTTGATACTAATTTGTGGCAGTCGTAACTCTCTGTGCCAAGTTTTCTGCGTTTATGTGTGGTAGTCAGATTCTGGATTGTCTGTTTTCGCATTTATTTTTAAATGTTCTCTGTAATGGTACGGGATGTTGTTATAGATGGGTGCTTTTTTTTCCTAGTTTATTCTTTTAATCAAGTCGCTGTGGCTTTAAGTTGAAAAGAAACACTTCAGAATTTCCTCGATTATTCTTAAGTTTTATGTGACTGTCTCTGTGCAGCAAGCAGCACCTGGAGAAAGGTACTTGCATGAGATAGTGCAGCATTCTCTTGGAGTTCTGCAAATTGTGACGTTAGTGCCTTACACACGACGATTGATTATTGACTCTACGCTAAGCAACGAACGATCTTTTATGGCTGTTGTTCTCGATGCGGTTAGTGGAGTTGCTTTTTGTGATCCTGAGGTAATTTTCTCCTTGCCATCTTGGTGTGCATTAGAAGGTTATCTGACCCACTGTTTCATAAAGATGTTCATAGTAAGCTTTGCAGTTTTGTTGCATGTGACGCTTGTGCTTTATTGGCTTCTCAACTGGATGACGTAACTTTTGTTCCTTCGAAAGGTAATCTAAGATGTTTGAATATGGTCAGTCCGATTTGGTGGATGCCGTTCTCTACTTTTTATTCCCAGCTTGAAATAGATGGATCAATAAATAGAACTCTTTGTCCTGGACAGGTGATTCAAACAGCTCTTCTTGTATTGGCCAATCTGGTTTGTCCTCCTCCTTCGCTTTGCAGTCGGCCCATGGCAGCTGCTGCCACTCCCGCACAGTCTCAACAGGCCCAATCAAGTCAAGGTGGAGCTGGGAGTTCTTCTCAAGCAACAACTGTGGGTACAGGCACAGCAGTGAATCTAGAAAGTAAGGGTTGGACTGGTAGAGCAGAAAGCAACGTTGACAGAAATGGAGGAGCCCAAGGGGCTTCAGGTCCAAGCGCTTTTGGGGCGGGGGTTGTCGGAGATCGGCGAATTTCCCTGGGGCCAGGTGCTGGTGGTTCCGGCTTGGCAGCGTACATGGAACAGGGTTATCGTTATGCCCGTGAAGCAGTACGGGCAAACAATGGAATCAAAGTGTTGCTTCATCTGCTTTACCCGAGGACTGTTCTTCCCCCTCCTGCCTTGGATTGTATACGAGCCCTTTCCTGTCGAGTTTTATTGGGCTTGGCTCGAGATGACACCATTGCGCATATTCTTACCAAATTACAGGTATATTCACGACTGCTATCGTAGAGTGCATGCGCAACTTTTGTTATATATATGTTTCTATTTTTTACAGGATTTGCAGTCCCACTTCCTCAACACTTTTGCAGCCTGTCTATAAATTCGAGTCTCCAAAATATTACTTAGAGATGCAATTCGGGTTTATGGGTACTTAAGGTTGCAGAAGTTTTGACATCACATCCATTTTGTTAAACCTATTGTCTTCATGATAAAAAATTTAATATTTGATTTGAACTCTTTCATCATGAAAACAAATACTATAACATTGTTTTTTGATTTGAAGAAATGTATGGTAGCTCACATTTTTTAAAAGATTCAAAATGGACTAGTTTTGCTATTCAAATTTTATTCATATTCTTCAGTCTTGGTTGCTCCTGCAATTAGAGTTTTTAGCAGAGAATCTCTGGGACATGTTTTTTTTCTCTATGTACACAACTGAGTTAACAGATATGTTGAGTCCTAACTTGGCTCACAGAATGCGAAGGAATATAATAAAAGCTTGCCATTGAACTTGAGAGCAAAAGATTGTTCGAGGCAGTTTTTAGTCCTATATGCCTTAAGTATCAGAGGACGCAGGTACTGACGGTGTTGGGTTTTGATAGGTAGCGTTGGTCGTGTGAGAGCTTGTTGAGCTTAGTTTGGAGATAATATATGTGCAGGTAGGGAAGTTACTCTCAGAGTTATTGCGAGATGGTGGTAGTCAGGCTGGCCGTCAAGCTAGTGCAGGTGGTATTGGTGGGGAGCAAGGGAGGTGGCAAGCGGAACTTAGCAGAGTGGCTCTGGAGCTCATTGCGGTAAGCATTTTCTTTGTTGTTATCTGCTTTTGATGATTCATTCCTCTTCTCATGTTATTGCATGTAATAAAGGCTTGGATGTTTGTCTTAACTTGAATTCATGAGAATTCTCTTCTTTGTGAGCTTCATCTCATTAATTGTATTTTCATTCTGCTGTCACGTGCAGATTGTTACCAACGTGGGGCGTGCAAATACTGCAGCAGCTAGTGAAGCAGCAGCACCTACTCTACGACGAATTGAAAGAGCAGCCATTGCTGCAGCCACACCTATAAGTTATCACCCCAGGTAATAGTTTATACTTTATTAGCATCGAAGTAACAGATGCCTTCTTCCTTTCTTAAATTTACGTTATTTATTTATTTATTTATTTTTCCTTTATATTCTCGACGTACTGACACCTTGGACGTTGATGAAACTGTCAGGGAGTTGTTACAGCTTATTCATGAGCATCTAATTGGATCAGGACTCCCGAGTGCAGCTGCTGCATTGCTCAAAGAAGCAAATTTGAAACCTTTACCTTCTCTTTTACCTCCGACTTCTCTTGTACTCCCAGCTTCATCGACTGAAGTAGTCAAAAACGTTATGCAGTGGCCTGCTGGACGAGTTAACGGCGGATTTCTTGGAGGCGGTTCGAAGAAACCTGCCAAGGATGAGGATGATGCGAGCAGTTCTCAATCTCTTCCTTCTTCCCGCAAAAAGCCAGCATTCTCAACTTCTTTGACATCTGGTGGGAAGTCGGGTTCAGCTATAGCTTCGCTGAGAAAGTCTCAGAGCGTGAAAGAAAACCGCAGTCGACTTGATACCCAGGATTATTTCCTCAGCCAAGGGAAGCCCAGAGATGATACAGATAGCATTTTCAAAACACCTGGAGCATATCGCAATCTACCTGTCTCCGGCAAGCGTAAAAGCGGTGAAAGGGACATGCCTCCATTATCCCCAACAAGTAAGCGGATGGCTTTTACAGATCCTTTCATGGCATCACCTTGTGTTACTCCTGGCCATGCACCCTTGAAGACAAATTTTGTTGACGTTTCCGCACCTGTTCAATCTACCCCAGCTCCCTCAACTAGTGATTTCACTCCTGCCAAATCATTTTTTGGACAGTACGGTTTGCCTGAGAAAGTAGATACGGCAAACTTGCAAACTGACTCATCGACTTTTGATTTTCAGCATTCACCCTACGTTCCTTTTAAACAATATCTCAATACCCCGGGCTATTCCCTTGTCCCATCAACAGGTGGTCTGTTAGAACCTCGCACCAATACTACGGAACATGCAACACTTGACTCACTTGTGGTCCAGTATCTGAAACACCAACATCGTCAGTGTCCGGCTCCCATTACTACCCTTCCTCCTCTATCCCTTCTTCACCCACATGTTTGCCCAGAACCTAGTAGGGCACTTGATGCTCCTTTAAATACCGCTTCAAGGCTAGCTGTGCGCCAGATTAGTCCACCTTATGGAGGTATGCATGGACGAAGACGAGATCGGCACTTTGTATACAGCCGGTTTCGTCCCTGGCGCACATGCCGTGATGATGCAGTTCTTCTTACTGCTAACACCTTCCTAGGTCATGCGTCCTGTCTTGCTATTGGTAGTCTTGCTGGAGATATTCGACTATTCGATTCAAGTTCAGGAAACATCTTGGAGGTGCAATTGATGGGACACAACTCACCAATCACGGCTTTGCAATCTGCTCCACATTGTCTGGCTGGAAACGACACACGAGTGGGGCAGTTACTGTTGTCTTCTGCCAGCCATGATGTTCGATTGTGGGACTCCTCCAATCTTGGCAATGGGCCTTTGCACGCTTTTGATAGCTGCAAAGCAGCAAGATTTAACCATGCAGGAAGTAGACTTGGCGCTATCACTTGTGAGTCCCCTCACAAAGCAGTCCTGCTGTACGATGTTGGCTCTTACAGGTTGGAGCAAAGGTTGTCTGACAGTTCAATAAGTCAGTCAGGCTTGCCACGCAGCCATACGCAATCAATTGTCCACTTTAGTCCTGACGATGTCTTGGTCCTTTGGAGTGGAGTATTGTGGGATCCCCGAGTCCAACGTGCAATTCATAGATTTGACCAGTTCACTGACTACGGTGGAGGTGGCTTCCATCCTGCCGGAAATGAGGTATGTTTTGGAGTTCTTTCTGTTTATATAGTTGATGTTATCATGTGTAATGAAGTTGGTTCTATGTTCTTCTCGCTCGTGTGATTTGCTTTGTTCATTTTAAATATTTCTTGTGGCCTATCTTCTATGCTTACCTGAGTATGATCATGCTAGCTCCAGTTTTCTTTTCTCTAGTCTCGTGTGTCGAACGTAACCTTGCTCCATAGTCTTTTAGTGCTGATAATTTGGTTTAAATAGAACTTGAGATCTCTTTATCTCGTGGTTTATATTTTTCTTGGTTTATGCAGGTCATCATCAATTCAGAAGTCTGGGATTTACGTTCGTATAAGCTTCTGAGAAGTGTACCATCTCTGGACCAAACTGCCATAACTTTCAATACAACGGGCGATGTCATCTATGCAACACTACGTCGTAACTCAGATGACATCATGACCGCACTTAATCCACGTAGGATGCGGCACCCTTTATTCAGTGCTTTCAGAACTATGGATGCAGTGGACTACTCTGACATCACTACTACAATTGTGGACCGTTGTGTCCTTGACCTTGCGACCGAACCCACAGACTCTTTCATCTCAATAGTAGCAGTTGAAAGTAACGACGAAATGGATTCATTCGCTAGGCTGTATGAAGTAGGGAGGAGGCGTCCCACTGATGATGATTCAGACCCGGATGATGGGGGAGAGACAGAGGAGGAAGAAGATGATGAGGATGATGACGATGACGACGGTGACCTTCACGAAGACGACGACATCGATCTCATAAGTAACGACAATGATGAGAACAGTGAAGAAGATGATGGGGACGAAGCTGGGGACAACGATAGTATTTCTACGGATGACGATTTCAGTGACGATGGTCTTGGGGAGGGGGACTTGGAACTTATCTCCGACGGTGACGATGGTCCTAGGGGTACGTTTTCAAGTGACGATGGCTCCGGGGGCGAGTTCGGACAAGATGCATTTGATGAATTTATGGGAGGATTTCTCTCATAAGGACGATTGCGCTTTGAGATCTCATAAAGGCATAAGTATAGTAGGTATGAGTACGTGGCATGTTCCCCTTCCTGTATCTTCTGGCTCTTGCACATGCTGAAGAGTTTTCCTTAGGTATGGAGGAATCTCCTCTGCTGAATGTATACACATAGCAAGAATATGTATCCTTCAATAGGGTAGGAGTCCTTTGTAAAGTACGTGTGTTTGTTGGTTGCATCAGAAGTGGTGCACAAGTATCAGATGAATGTAGAAGTACGAGTTCTAGCTTAAGTGCGAGTTCTTGGTGCGATAACGTCGGTTCGTGAGCATAAATGACTTCTCAAATCTGTGCGTTACATTTTTGTCCTCACCATTACTTCGCTCCTGATATTATTAGCTCAGGTCTGGTGATAATTAAGCAAATGCTCAAACAATTTGAGCGACTGGCTAGCTTTTAAGATTTTTTTATTCCAATACTGTCCATAAAACTTGGTGAATCGATGAAGTTATTTACCTTGATCATGGATGTATTTTGATTCTGGGTGACACTAGTCTCATGAGTATGGCCTCTTTCCAAATTACTCCGCAGTATGGGGAAGTGTGTGAGGCAGGGGCTTGGTTTTGGCGTAAATGGGTACCAGGGTTAAGCATGATAAGGGCAAAATCATCATAATGACTGAGCCCATATACTTTTTCTGTTCTCCTCACTATTTTGACCGCCGAGTGGTGCTGGGTCAGCTTCGGGATGTTTATGTAGCAAGTTGGTAAGTTAATAATTTAAGATTTTAGTTGGCAATGTAATTAATAAAATGTAATGAAGTCCTCAAATTCAATCTCAACCTCATAACAAAAATAGAATGAAAAAATAAATAAATGCTTTTGGATTTATTAGTTTGTATAACAATGTTGGCATTGTGATAGTTGTTGCTCTTGATCAATTTATCTGCTCCAAATATTCAGAAAAATACAATTTATGATCTCATTTAATACATGATTATGATCCTAACGGTTTTTATTCAAATAAACAAGCATTGAAATTCCAAAAAATATGAACTTATAGTTTAAAAAGTAAATTCTATCATATGTATGTATATGTATAAATATATATATATATATATATATACACACACATGTATACAATCATGTATAGTTTTTTTAAACGATTTATTATTGCATTTTATGAAACTATCACTAGTACCTTTTTGCCAACTTTAATATTAAAAAAAAATAAACTTGTATTATCTTGGTTTTACTATTTTTGGAGCAATAAGATCTAATTTTTTATTATTAAACTGCATTCGTCGTAGAAAAAAAAATAAAATATGGAAAGTATTTTTTGTAGTAATTAATGAGCTTCTTATTTTGTGACAAAACAATAATTTGATATTTGTAAATGCATTGGATTATTACATCACATATGATGATTTTGAAATGATATGTGAATTTTTTCCATACAATAGAGTAAGAGTCCAAAAAAGTTATTATTTATAGCATTCTAAACCATAGAGAAATTTAGGTACTTATTACTTAGACATTAATCACTATAAGTACCAAAATTTGTATTTTGTAAATTAAATTTAAAATGATAATTCCAAAGAATTTTTTTGTGTTTGATTGTTCTTATTTTTAATTTTTTAGCACTTTCGCTACTGTATGTTGTAATTTTTAGCATTTTAGTACAAAATAATTTTTCCAAGTAATTTTATTTTATTTTTACTGTAAATAAACATATATATATATATATATATATATATGTGTGTGTGTGTGGCTTTTTTATATAATAAATGTTTTAAATTCTTTGCAAGTTTTAATTCTGAATTTTGAATGAAACATAAATAAATTTTGATATCTTGAATTGAAGATATTTTACAAATTACAAATTGTATTTGTTTAAAACATTGATTATTATTAGTGGTCCAAATTTGAACTTGCACCTTTGTATTTATATTACACAACACAATTTTATAACGATTCAACTTATTTATTATGCAATAGCATATAATGAGATTTTTTTTTAAATAACATTAAAATTTTAGAAATATGTGTATATACATATACATATATAACAATTATTTGTATTTTTAAACATTAAAAATTGTAAAACTTAAAAATCCCAAAATCATATATGCTCCTGTATCTTTTCAGATTAGTGTGTGTAATATCAATAGTGGTCCACATTTAATACAAGCCCTTCCAAACCTGAAAGACCAATTTATATCACCTCAAGAATGTTGCTGATATGCTTTGATATATCCCTCTTTATTTTAAACATTTGAAATTTTAAACATAAAGTTTTGTAATAGCTTGTGAAAAAATATTAGTTGACTTCCATCTTTTCCTTTTTGTTTTGTTCTTTCCAAATTTATATTATATCTTCTAAATTTTTTTGGCAAAGCTATTGTCATTATGCTTGTTTTCACTGTCTTTTATTGCTTTCTTAATACCAATTCTTGTTCAATCAATATCCATCCATAGTTCACCATATCTACTCCTATTATATCAAAGAAAGCACTTTTTAGTAAGGCTAATCTTATAAACGGTAACTTTTTCTACATCATCTCATGGCTTGAAGGAAAACTTTAATAGTATATTTGGCATCTTTAGATCAACAAATATTGGTGTTGATCTATAGACAAAAATAGCAAGCTATCACATGCTTGCGTAAGTGGTTAGCACTTTGAGTTGAAAATGCCTCCATCTTAATCATAAGGCCATAAAAGAGAAACTTTAAACTTATAAGGCAAAGCTTGTGAATGAATTAAAAGAATTTGTGCATATTGGATATGGTATCACTAAAGACAACAAAAAAAATAAAAAATAAAAAAAGAATTTTCACTATTAAGCAGAAGCTCAACAAAAGTTATTTCCAATTTGAAATGATGAAGCTCTTTAGAGAGAAGTCTATTGTCAAGCCTTTGTATACAATTGACTTTAGCTAGTCCAATGTCAAAAGAGGACAATAATATAGAAGATGATGAAACAGTTGTCAAGAGAGAATTTGATATTGAAGAATTTGAAGTCATGGTTGAAACAATAGAATTACAACTTGAGGATGCAAATGGAATAGAGGCTTGGCAAAAGGTAAAGAAAGATGCCAATCCTTATAAGCTTGGCAAAAGGTAAAGAAAGACGCTAATCCTTATAAGCTTGGCAAAAGGTAAAGACAAATGCAACTATTGAGAAGGCTAAAGCCATAAAAGAAGCAAAAAAAATGAAATTAGTAGTAGATGAAAAGCTGTTTGAAGAGAAGAAATAGATGGCAAAAAGAGAGGAGAGTGGCAAGAAGAGGAATATGGCAAAGAAAGAGTTTCTTTGGAGGCAAGACAAAGAAAAAACCAACAAAAAACACTCCATAGTTCTTTTGAGTTTAAAGAAGGGAAGGTCCATAATACAAATAAAATAATATTTTCAACTTCTTTTACAATTCTCAAATACAACATATTAAAACACTAGTGACATCCATTTATTAAGAAGTGATGTTTAAAAAATGCACAATAAAATATAATAGTCATTTGGAGATTTTAAAATTAAAAAGATAGAGTCATAAATAAAAATAAAAAAATGAGTAAAAAACCTTTTTTTTATAAAATATTTAATTTAAAAAATAAATTATATGTCTAATTTCTAGAATATAGAACACTCCTTTTTAATGATCATATAAAGCATATTGTAATTCCCAATTTTTACCTTATTATTCATAATTTTATCCATTTGAACATTGTTCATATGTTCAACGTGTATACCTTTTTGTTGCAAATCCATCACTTACCTACTATCTAACATACATATCTTTTTGAATTTAAAATCAAATTGAACACAAATATTAATAAATATAATAGAAAATATAAAAATAAAGTGAAATTATTTGAACATGAAACAAAAAACTCTTAAATTTAAAGCAAATGGAGCAAGTGCATACTTGATCTTGTATGAATCTAATAAGAGGACTCATGGTAACTACAATCTTCTTTGTAATTAGAAATGGTAGTTAATAACTGATTCATGTCCACAACATCATTTGATTTATAAAATCCTATACATTCTAAAAAAAGACTATAAGAGTAATAGTCAAAACTTAATATATAAAAAAAAAATACTCAAAATAATAAGGCTATTAAAACAAAATATTCACAGAGAATTATGAAAGCAAAACATTCATATCCTATCATCTAACTTGATCTTTATATGGTCTTAATTCTCAAAACCTAAACCATAAAGAAAATCACAATTGACATTGGATACATATAAAATAATATGTATTCTTTGAAGTTGAAATATTTTTTAGGTACACCCTCCAACAGATTCTTTAGCTTTATAAACTTATTATGCATGAAATTCCATTCTTGTTCTAACTCAATCACTCTCTGCATGCTAATTATTGTAACCACACTTACTTCTCCTCCACCTCCAAACTCTAATTCCTTTCAATACTAAAATCACTTCCTTCTTTAAATCAATTACCAAACCTTCATCTTCATATTCTCGGTACACCCACCCTCTTTCTCTTTCCTCCTACCACATAATATTTAAAAATCCATATCCACAATTATTTCATCACCATTAATTTCATTGCAAACACTTCATCAATCACAATCCTCCCTTCTACCATTTATTTTCTACTCCCTTGTAGTTTATATTTCAATCATCTACAATTATACAAAAATCTATTCCTAATCAAATATTTTTTCACAATTGTAATACTAATAAGTCACCTTAATTTGATTTCTACAATCAAATTATAAGGTTGTAATCTTCTATAATAATTAAAGAAAGAAAAAAGTTGATGTACTCTATTGATACTCAAGATACAACAAGACAAAGAAGGCAAGTTCTAATTGGCTTCATTGATTGATCATTCATATAAAAGAAATGAAGTACCAATGCATAAAGAACATGTTCTTCTACTAGAGCACTACCTTGCAAATAAAATCCTAGAGAATGAAAAACAAAGTTGGATATTTTAGAGTTAATTTCATCCAATGTCAATTTTTGTAGCAATTTAATAATTATTTGAAATCTAGTAAATTAATAGAAGAGATTGAGGGAGAAGGACAGGGGAGAAGAGAGAAAGAAGAAAAGGATGAGAAAGAGAGAGAGAGAGAGAGAGAGAGAGAGAGATGTGCGGTGTAAGTAGGAAGCAAAAGGATATTTCGCATATAATATTAAATTTCAATTATTGTGCCACATCCAAACAACCTCCTCACTTTTCTTTCATATTCTAAAGATAAAGGACCACCTTTCAAGTTTCAAAGAATTCTTATTTAATCCTTGATAGTATTTATGTATATTTTTTTAAAAAAATAAGAATCATAATACATGATTGTTTTCAATAATTATTTTTTATGTATACTTTTTAATCAAGTTTGACTTTCTTTGATTAATAATGTCTCTTGTTTTGTATTAACTTTGTTTTTTAAACCTTTAGACACTATTTCAAAGTGCTTAAAATAATTAGTGTTGTATAGATGCATTAGATATTTATTGAGATAATAGGCAATTATAGAGACATGATAGTATTT